GGTCTGCTAATGTAGGGGCCTTAGTCAGTCGAATGAGGTTTTGGGCTCCAGTCTAAGTTTAACACGGAGCCGTAAGGAATCATGTTGGTAATCTCTTAGGCTTCTATGGTACCCACAAGACACTGAAGTTGATGTTCAAACCAAGCATTTGGCACTGCGGTCAGGCCAGCGGAGTTGTCTTTAGAAATCCTTAGGGTTTAATGTTTAGGGCCTGGACTTTGAACTCGACAGCTTATGCTTCGGGGTCAGGTGCAAACTTGCCGACACGGACATCTCTGCGAACGTCGCTGCTGGGTCGCTGCCACGAGCAACTTGGTTGCATTTGTGGCAGGTATTTGAGGGGGCACATGCAGGAACATCGTCACATAATGTACTGTGTGTCATGTCACATATTGTTATGTTGCACTGCCTTGTATTGACAATGATTACAACGATAAGCCTAACAGTACTGTACTACACTATAGTAGAAGCCAGAAAGTTGCAACATGGTTTGAGGGAGACCAGTGCTAGGATCCCTTATGCATACCTTAAGGGCATGAGGATAGTGTTGTTCCAACTTTCTGGCTTTTACAATATGCTCCTCGATTTTAGATTTCCAGTGCACCGCCGGTCTGGAGACTTCGTCGACTGCGATTTATGCGGCTGCGTCTTGTGAAGAAGGGGTACAGGACTGAGAGCCAGAGACAGAGAGAGAGAGAGAGAGAGAGAGCGAAAGAAAGCAAGATAGATAGAAAGACAGAAAGAAAGAACACACACAAATAAAGAAAGAACGACAGGGATAGGGCAAGAGGGAGAGTGGACGAGCAACAAAAGCACACACGGAGAGAGACACCCAGAAGAAACAAACACAGAGACACACACACACACACACTGATCATGCGAACGTATGCATGTATGCGCATGCAAATACAGTGTCATACATATATATCTATACACACACAGACACGTGCTTGCACCCGACTTATGTACACATGCATGTGCACACCGAAGGAGTACGTACATGTGACAATTACTGAGGGTCCGTGACTCTTGCGCTGTGGCGTGCCACCTGCAGTGCCGCTGGACATAAACAGTTAGTCGCCATGAAGCGATGTCACCCAACCGCAATGGGACAGGGTGAAAATGGATGGTTCACAATAACCCCCTTTCGAAGCAAACACTTCACCGGCGACAGCAGCCGGCTCAGGGCTCACGGCTAGCATCCCCTCCAAGCCGACTGAGCTTTGCAAGACCTCAACACAAAGCAATCAGCGCCTCTAAGAAAGGGACCACCGTGCATCACCAACAACCCCGCGACTTATCAAGCAGTCATGCTAAGGGAAGTAGCACTAAGCGGCACAATGAACCGGACAACCCTTACAGTAACACTTAACACTAAACTCCTTACTCCTTAGCCGTTTCTCCCCGTGCCCTCGGCTGTCACCGGCGAATTGGCAGTACGAGGGAGTTCTGAGGCCAGTACACAAAGGCTGCTGCAGCCCTGCTACAATAATAATAATAATAAAGCCATGTCAAGTTGGCCAAGGACGCGATTTAGCCTTCAGCATTGAGCCTGTCAGAAAACGATCTGAATTGCCTGTTCTGCAATGCAGAACACCTATTTCATTGGGATGCAGCTCCCTACAAACGAAGCCCCAGCAACCCCTAAACCCTGAACCCTAGGCCCAGGACAAGGAGGGGGGCGGGGGGGGTAGGCTCCGGTATTCCTGGGAAGCATATGCGCTTTTGGCTCCAAAGCTTGCAGGTAGAAAGGTTCCGTTGCACGGGGACTGTGCTTACCTGTATCGGTCGGTCGTGCATCCACAAGAATACTCTGCTATGTATTGGAAGGCTCGAAACCCGAAATTTCGTCCTCCGCAGAAACTATCCGATAGATGCATGGGAGTTGCTGGGAGGACCCTGATTTTTCACACTGAAGGACCAACATCTAAGTACAGAAGCCCGACTGGCATAGGACAAACAACTGAGAAAACAGACCGTACGCGTCTAATACTAAGGATTTCTAAGGAGTCATGAATAGTGTCGCTAACACCTCAGCCTTCTTACTGCAGCATTCAGCCCTGTCTCAACCGCCCAGCTAGGCCCTGCTACAAAAACAAAGTTTCAGGTCGACCGGGTCGTAGTTTCCAGGCCCCCTACAGTCTTTATGCATAAGTGCCTCCGTAGGGCCATAAGGGAAATTTTAAAGCTTCCCAAAGTGCCACCTAGTGTATAGGAGTTAGGAACAGGGGCACCCTTGGGGGTATAGACCCTCTCAGTCACTTTTGAAAAGAGCCAGAGGTGGGGTCTCCTGTAAGGGGTCTCCCTTCTCCTATCTGGAGTTTAAGCGTGTTTCGCTTCAGCTGCTTTCTCACTTAGGGGGGGTAAGGGGGAGGGGGGTTGGGGACTATACTTCCTTAAATAGGCCTTATTAGGTCAGTATTATGGGCATTAAGGCCCCCTACCCCGCCCCCTAAACCCTAAACCCCTAAATCCCTAAACCCCCCCTAAGGGTCCCTGTCGTTCTCCGTCTTGGGTTTGTAGGACCCGGGGGGGCCTTCCAGCACTCCCGAACTACCCCATACTGAAAGGGTTTTGGGTTTCAAGGGTTCAGGGTTTTAAGGATTTAGGGGTTTAGGGTTTAGGGATTTAGGGGTTTAGGAGTTATAGGGCTTTAGGAGTTTAGGGTTATAGGGTTTTAGGGGTAGAGTCCTGAATGCAGGGTATTTGGTGTAGAATGGAAGGTAGTCGGGGGTCTAGGATGTTCGTCTCGCCCAAAAAAATTCCATGGGGCACCGAGCCCTAAACACGAGTCTAGACTGAAATCTCAACGGTACTGCCGAAAACCCTAAACCCTACACGTTAAAGATGAACCACACATCATAAAGAGTAAATCCTGCACCCCAATTCCCAATCCTTTTAATTAGTCACCTGCTCGGGTCTTGCACTTCAGATGTTCTGTTGAACTGGAGACTATGGTCAGGAGTCTTGTTTTGAGAGCTAGGGTTTGGGACAAGGTTTTTTTGAACTTGGAGCTTTGGGCATGGAGTGTCTTAGGTGCGTGTTTCGGTGTCTTGGGTTTAGGCTTTAGGCCTCTATGACTCTGTGCAGTTGCCCAAACCTCGACCCACCACAGGAGCACAAAGGAGTTGGAACTGAACTAGCTGCAAGAAGTCAAAACACAAAGACCGCCTTAAATCGTGTATGTCGGGTATAAACCCGATGAAGTCTCACGCCAGCTGCGGCAGCCGAAAGTGTTTCTTAAATCAACCCGATTGGGTCTACGTCTCTGAGCGTGTTCAGTGGGCATGGCCTGAACCCTTGAATCGATAAGTCTGAACCCTAAACCCTAAATCTCTAAACCCTCAAGTCCTAAACCCTGGAACCGTGAGGTTGTGCGGCTCAGCTATTCTTCGATCCGATTATGCTGATGGATTGGAAAGCCCTAAACCCTAAACCTCATAAGCCCCAAACTCAAACCCCCCAAACACCTAAACCCCCTGAACAGAAAGATACCCTATAAAACCCTAAACCGTAAACCCTAGAACCCCTAAACAGAGAGATACCTCTAAACCCCGAACCCGAAACCCCATGTATTGTATTTATATAGTCTTGTTGTAATTATTATGGCATTACTATAATACTTGATATGAGAGTTTCCGAAAAATAGGGGACCCTAATATAGTACCCTGAATAGTAGGATCCTTATTATAAGGACCCAAAATAAGGTACCCCTAATTTTCGGAAACTCCCATATAGTATAGCAGAAAGATTAGGATTCCACTTATTGCTCGTTCGAAGGGTTCAGGCGGAGCCTCATCTGGTATCGCCAGTCAGGCGCAATGCAGCCAGTAACCAGTTTAGGGTTTGAAGTTGTTCGGTTTATTCTTTAAGGTTTAGGGTTTCGGTTGTTGGGTTTGGGGGTCTAAGGTTTAGGGTTTCGGCTGCTGGGTTTAGGGTCTAAGGTTTAGGGTTTCGGCTGCTGGGGTTTAGGGTTTCAGGTTTAGTGTTTCGGTTGTAGGGGTTTAGGGTTTCAGGTTTAGGGTTTCGGATGTACAATAGACTACAGGCGCCTGAAAAAGACGCTATGCAGCCAATAACCAGTTTATTACCCTAAGGGTCCATGTACCTAAATCGTATATACATGGGCCTCAAAGTACAAGTATTCCCTATATAGGTACATTGGAGCCAAGGTTTATGCTATTCGGGCACATGGACTCTCAGGCTTAGGGACTCCCAAAGCACGGGATATCCCTACCTTAGTGGCCTTTCTTATACGGATTTATATGGGATATCCCTAGCCTACTTTGTGCTTAATACGAAAGGCATATTCCTTAACTAAGGAATGATATTGGAGTCTCTGGGCTGGGCCCTAAAGAACCTGCCCTTTTTTCGGAATTTATAGAGGGAAATCATCATAAGGAACCCAAGAAGGTTGGGCATATTTGGGGATTAAGGTAGGGCTTATGGCTTCGGAGTTTGCGGTGAAGTGGGTAGGCTTCAGGTGCTTTAATAAGGCCCCTGTTCCAGAGTGTAGGGTTTAGAGCTTAAGGTTCTCTGGGCAGTGCCACAAATCAAGACTAAAGTGGTGATGGACTTACAAACTTGACCTCTTGAACCCTGAACATTAATCTGCATTACACTCTGAGGTCTCTGTATGAGTCGACGAATCCAGCTTTAGCTAAGTTACTAGAAGGATTCGAATGAAGCCTAAGACTACGCCTTACAATTTTGGTTTCACGTTTTAGTCTCCCCTCAACCCTAAACCCTAAAACCCAAACCCAAACCCTCAAGCCTAAGTTGTAAGGTTATAAGTGCCCTAATTGGGGTGTTAAGTAATTATAAGTATAGTTACCTTAATTATATTTATAACCCTACCTACTAAGTCCCATGACCCTTTAAGCAGCCTTAAACCCCCTTATAGAAACCTTACCGATCCCTTAAAGGAACCCTTATAGAACCCTTAGTTAAGTCCTGAACCCTTGGTGTTGCAGCTTCGGGGTTCAATGCCCAGCGCTGGGTTATGGCATGCTCACGTCTCGCTGAAACCGCCCTGCAAAGCTTGAAATATCTTTCGATGTCAGGTGCCGAGCAAGAGTGTCGACCTTGTTCCTGGCAGGCCAGGTTTCCCGATGTAGGGTTTAGGGTTTAAACGGTTTAGGCTTTAGGATGTAGGTGTTAGAGTTTAAGGTTTTGGGTTTGGTGAGTACCAGCCTTTGTATGTGAAGAGGTTGAAAAGCATGTGCTTTACGGAGGTTTAGAAGTCATTGTTCATGAGGCTTTTATACTGGCCGTACGACACCTCCACACTTAAGACACAGTTCAGGTACGTTCCTTTATCAAAGCAGGAACCATACAATTCTTGGTCAGAGTATGCGCAGGAACCGTTTAAATATATTGGGCAAATGAGTCAGGCCTCAAATTCAAGGGTGTGTCGCCTCACTACGGGGTAACCGAGTCGAGCGCCTAACCTGGCAGGGTTGGGGGTTTAGGTGGAGGTAATCAAGGGTTTAGCAAGCTAACAGCAGCGGGACCCAAACCCGCCAAAACTACTACACGATCCCGAACCCTGAACTTAACCCTGAAACCCGAATCCGCAAACCCTTAAGCCATAAACCCTAAAACCTTTAAACCCAAACCCTTAAACTCGAAACCCAAACCCTTAAACCACAAGCACTAAAACCTCCCGCTCTCCAGCCGCCGGCTGCGGCTGCCTTAAGCCGTTGACCCTGTTCCGGTACCCTACATTGGTTTTAGGTTTGAGGGTTTGAGGTTTCGGGCTTAGGATGTGTACATCTTGAGTTTGGGGTTTAGGTTAGGTTTATAGATGATCTTAGGTTCAGGGTTTGGTTTAGACATGACCATAAGTTTAGGGCGTATGCTTTGCTTATACATGATCTCAGGCTTAACGAAGGCTTTGTGTGCTTATGTAGCGTTTAGGGCCTAGGGCTTCGTGTTTGTTTAGGATTTAGGGCTAAGGGCTAATTCACGGTTCAAAGTTTAGGGGGTTATAGGGTACATTATGAATATATCCTCCTGGTAACCTTTCATGTTCGGATGCTCTCTCGATTTACTATAATTAGTCAAAACGTGAATTTATAAGACGGGTCATGAAGTTGTATAATAGTGGGCATGCACAGCTTGGGCACGCACAACACAGAACCTACTACTTACAAACTGTCTACGTAGCTCGAATAAATCACGGAAGCCCTCTTGCCTAACGTCTCTGTAAGAAGACCCGAAATCTTGCCCACTCTCCCATGCCTTCTAAACAACCTGCGGAAACGTGTTTAACAGCAAATAGAGCCCGTAACTTCTAATTCCCCTCATCCTGCTCCCGCGTCGCCCCCTGGACCCTCAAACCGGGATGAACCAGGAGGTCCTCAGGCCCAGAATTTCTCGCCGTAGCTTTCCCAGCTCCGAGTCGTCGTGCTCCTCCATGCAGCAAAGGGCATGGAGTTTGGAGGTTTAGGCTTTAGGGCTCAGTGCGGAGAGCACAAGGACTGAATGTTTGAGAAATGCAGATTGTGGGATATCATGAACTACACAGGGTTGAAAGATCTTGATGGGTTGGCTTGCAATCAGGCAGAGCTGCGACGTTGCCTGCATTCACTATTGAGATTGGACCCTTCTAACCTCAATCCCTGTAAGTAAGGCCGAAACCCGAACCGCTACCTAGTTTGGGGCTGCAGAAAGCGGAAAGCCGGACCAACCCGGAACCCTCAAAACAAAACAGAAAAACAAACACAATTGACAAGCCTTCGAGCTCTTGTACAATGCATATAGAACCCTGACAACTCGAATGCCTCCTCCTCAAAGATGCGAGGGTCGTAGGCTATCCAAGTCGCCCTGGACTCGGGTCGCTCCTGGAAGCTGGAATTGCCATACAGAGCCAGCGCTGGTGTTCAATTCCGAAAAGATCGTCGGCTGGCGGAGGCTATGGACGATATTTATCAGATTCGTTGTATTTCAGCTGCGAAGATGTCCTGGCCGTGATTTTCTTAGTATTCTAACAGTACTGAACCATCCAAGTTCCGCTCTTATCATACGACGAACCATATACGGACCTCAGAAAAGGAACTCAAAATATCTAAGCTCCTTGGGCCACAGGTAGACTCCAAGCCCCCTTACAAACCCCACACAAGCCCTACATATAACCCCATAGAACCCTATAAAGCCCTTATGTCTTACAAGACCGTTCAACAAACTCTCGCAAACGATATAAACATATAAGAGCCAAGAGAGCCCGATAAAACTATTCCAGCACCTTTCGTCAAACTCCCATAAAAAGGGAGGCGACGTGCAGCCGAGCTTCACACTCCTCTGCTGGGGCGACCTATGGCCAAACCCCGGGTGCGGGGTTTAGGGTCTAGGGGATTATGGGATTTATGGGGTGCTAAGGAGTTTTCAGGGGCCTGTTCCCAATAACGGTCTATATCGGGTCTGCTTGAAAAGTCATGGGAGATAGTCTTAGCTGGGCTATATGTCAAGTGTACACTACCTTACTTGGGGGTTTTCATCCTTCAACAACCTCCCCCTCTGCGGACTCCTACCTAAACGATAACCCTTAAACCTGGCGAATGGGAAGCAAAGGATCCGCTGGTCTGCGACGAGCCAGAACTGGTCAGCTCCGGAATGAGGATTTAGGGTTTATGTGCAGGGTCTATAGGTGCACACCTCCCGCAGCTTCTCCTGCATCTCTGTGGTGTTGGCCTTTGCCGCACCGCGCTGCGAAATGGCAAAATGGCTTCCGGAGACGATGGTCTGCATCGATGAGACCAAGGTGATCTCGTATGGCGCTTGGTCCCACTGCCACCCTGAAATAAAGATTTGCCGCGTCAACACGGGGCTTCAGATTTGGTCTTGCTGCTCTCTGGTCCCTGGCACGAGTTCAATTCAGACCCTTGCGGGTGGAGACCTTGTTGCAGGCGTTGGTTCAGGCCTTTGAAGGAACCGTATTCCTCTTAGTTCAAGGTGGTGTGCTACGGCTGCTCCCAGACCTAAACTACCACATTGCAATATGTCAGACCTTTGTGCTTTTAAGCGCCCCTTACCAACTCACACCACCTCCAAGACAGCCCTGAGGGCAGGCGTCGGTGTCGGCATTTGCATCAATCCCTGAAGCACGAAGCACAAACCTTTAGGGTCTAGAGCACCGCATCCAAATATCTCAGACCTTCAGGATATTGTTGGAATTCTAGGGACCAGGGAACTGTACCATTCTCGTATTACTCAGGCCTCAAAAATATCGGTGTCTGCTTCGACTGCCCACTCGCTTCGCTCTCTGGCAAAACCAGGCTTGCTTGGCCCTCCCATAAAATCTAGGGTGCAAGCAAACAAGATTACTATGGCTTGGCTTTAGGCATGTTCCAGTGCCTGCACAGTATGCCTTTTGGTCTTACACTGGTTCCATTATCATAACGGAACTGCTTCCAGGCGAGAAGACATTCAGATAAATGAATAAGTAAAAAAATAATATATATATATATATATATACACACACACACATACAGGCACATGGGCCATTGTAACAATCGTGTCTATAAATGTTAAACCTACAGGAACCCTCAAAGCACGTCAAGCCCAACAGTCATCCGCACAAGACACTACGGGAACCCTTCGAGGAACCCATGGACCCTTTATGGTGTTGGGCCTTGGGTCTTGGGGTTTAGGGCTTGCGGTTTAGGGTTGAAGGGTGGAGGTCGCGAGTTTCAGGGCTTAGGATTCTGGGCTTTGGGATCGGATTGGCTTGTACGGGAATTCTGTGAAAAGAGTGTTGAGCTGGGTTTAGGGTTTAGGGAGCTTGCTGCATATAGGCTGAAACCGGAAACGAATATACAAGCCCAACCTACCCAGCTAGCACACGAATCTCGGAAGAAGAAAGCCTCGACGTGGACGCCGGGCACTTTCCATCCCAGCACCTGCAATTGGTGCAGCATTTGGGGAAGTTGCCAGAACAAACGACTGGGTTTCTATTGCTGGGCCGTTGTTGAAGCGGAGGCACTCGTTAAATGTGCTTGTGTTCCGTCTTGTAGATGTAACTACACCAAAACCACGAAACTTAAAGCCCCCTCCCCCTGACAATTATCACCGCCATCACTTCTTCATGTCCTGTATTGCTCCCATTGTTTCACGGGAAATCATCGTCGTCGTTCTTGGCTGTTTACTCTTGGCACTTAACGACATAGGCCATGTTCAACCATGTTGTTAGCTCAAGGGTGGCTCCTCGTGAAACCACCCTGTAGCGTTTTTTTCCACGGTTTAGGATCTAGGGCTCGGGGTCTGGGTTTCCTCTGTCGGGTCCAGCTACTTAAACGATCATGCGGCGTAGTGATGATGATTATGATGAGTCAGGTCAGTATACTTACAACTAGCTAGACCCCCCATGCAAGCTGCTTGAAACCTTACTGGTACCAAGAAGGTCCATAATATATACCACCATTATGGAATTAGGCCGCCAAAACCATGTTGGGACTGGTCTTTTGGGACCTAATTTTAGGATGGTCGTCTGTATGGACCCTCTGGGCTACTAGCTAAGTCCGATGATCCTCCCAGTCGCCCTAAACCCTCATAACCTAAACCCTGATCCTAGGGCTCGCCTCCAGCGCATGCCGCCGGAGAAGCAGCTTGAAGGTGTACACCTCAAGTCGGAACAGAGACCCATCCTCGAAAGGAAAAAACCGAACACTTAAGGTTTAGGGTTCAGGGTACTAGAGGGCTTATGGTTTAGGGTTCCGGGCTTTGGGTTTAGGGCTAAGGGTTTACATCAGGTCTCCTACCGCACGGTCTTCGCGCCAGAGCCGAGAGTAAGAAGGGATCTGTGAGCTCCTATAGAGAATTGGACCTAAACCCTAAACCCCTGAAGCCCTAAACCATAAACATCTAAAGCCCTAAACCCCTGAACCCTACAGCCTAAAACCTAAACGAATCCTTTAGAGCCAAAGCTCCTACCTTGATGACTGATGGAGGGTACAGTGGTTTTTGGCTGGGGCTGAGAATTTAAGGCATTACCCCAGGGACCCAAGCAGCGAATAATAACTCCGAACAGCCCCATAAACCCTAAACCCTGATCCCTAAACCCCAAACCCCAAATTAAGGCCCCTACATGAAGCCCCCGTCCCAAACCTTGCGAAGCCAGATTTGGGCACATCAAAGTGCGCACCGAATTATGCCAGGATCGAGATATTCAGGTTCTTGATGAGCTGTCCCTGAGGATCCATGTGCTCATGTAGTATATACTTTGGCTTTAAGGTACAACCCATGTCGATTCTTTAGGGCCCAAGTAGACTACTAATTTTATGGGTGCTCGTATCTCTTTTACACCGAATCCTTAACCAGTGTGGTACCCTGATAGAACTCTTTTCGTCCCCTTAAAGGATCCCCCTTTTGCCCCCAAACCTGTAAATCCCTTATGGTAACCTGATACCCTGATAGAACCCTTACAATCCCTGAAGCCTAAACCCTTATGGTACCCAGACAGAACCCCTACAGCCCCGTTGAAGGAGCCCTTAAAGTTAAACTCCCCTCAAAGGAACCCTTATAGCCATAGTCCCCCTAAAGGATCTCTTAATAAGCCCTAAACCCTAAAACCTAACCCTAAACTACAGTAGAAGCCCAAAAGTTGGAAACCCAATAGCCAGAATCCTTAAGAGCAATGTATAGGGAATCCCAGCTCTATTTGGCCTTAATCCGGTTTCCAACTTTATGGGGTTTACCATAAACCTAAACCCCTAAACCCTAAAGGATGTCTTGAAAACTGTCAGCTTGGCCAGCCATTGCCAAGGCTCGGCCCGAAAATCCTGCCATGGACGTCGGTTTCAGAATGCAGGGCTCAGGGCTCTAGGGGATTACATGAGAGCTCCTTTAAAGGGATCTATAAGGGATCAGGGTGTATGTAGGGGGTTCAGGGCTTTAGGCTTTAGGGTTTAAGGGCTTAGGGTTTAGGGGTTTAGGGTTTATAGGGTTTAGGGTTCAGGGCTTTAGGGGATTAAACGTCTTTAGGGCTTCTAGGACTTGAGGACATTAGGGGTTAGGGTTTGGGTTTTCGGGTTTGGGCTTTCTTGGGGGCTTGTGGAGTCAGGGTTTCGGACTTAGGATGCGAATCCGGTGTTGCTGCAGACACCGTCAGTGTACACAGCACTCTCAAGCCTTTACCCTAAGGCTCCACGTACCCATATATATATATATATATATATAAATATTATAGAGTGTATACTTAAGCCCTATGTCTTCAAGTGCCTATATAAGAACCCCTGCTAAGGCCTAAGTAGATACTATGTAGGCACATGAAGCCTTACGGTTTAGGCGATGAGGACTGGACTTACAGCTTGAAGCTGCCTCTACAATGAGGACTGCCTATGGCGGCGGCGATGACTGACGAGAATGATGATGTTGCAGATGACAATGATAATCACAATAATAATAATGATGATGTTGTTGTTGATGGAGACGACATGGTAATCGTCACGGCAACGATGAGACTACTGACGCCGAGCAGCCCAGACTGAGGCAGCTTAGTACTTGTGGGCAGGGCCATGACAGGTGCGCAAATGGCACGCTATGCTTGTACGTTCACCTCAGGCATCCCGTGACGGAGGCGGCAGCGCCTAGTGATTGCTCACGCTTGGGCAACCCTCAGCGCTAAACCCTAAACGAGAACCTAGCCTAAACCCTGAATGAACCCCAGGCCTCTAGCCCTACACCCTGGAAGCTAAACCCTGAACCCTCAAGCTTCATGCACGATGCTCGCGGTGGGGTAGGTGTGTGACTGGTGGAATGGACATAAACCCTGAGCCCAACACACTTAAACTTAAACCCAACACCCTGAACCCCAACACACAAAAACTTCGAACCTAAAGATAGAATATAGAGTTCACAACCCTTAGCCCTACAACCTAAATCCTCGAACCTACTCCCTGAACCCTTAGGCTTGAACCCCAAAACCCAATAGGATTCGTTTTGGGGGTTTAGGGCTTAGGGCTGAAGGTTTCGATTAAAGGAACCCCAAGCCCTGTACACCGAAATGCTTCCCTTCCTCGAAGAGTTCTCGCCGCTTCAGGTTCTTCTCGGAATACCTGAGCTTTCTCTACAGGATTTCGGATTAAGGGTGGAGGTCCAGGAACCTCATAAAGCGTAAAGGAGTATACAGTATAGTACAGACATCGAATCAATCAACCTAGTCTAGTATGGTATAGTACTGTAGGCTTTGGGTTTGGGGCTACATCTAAACCCTCAACCCTAAAACTGTGTTAAGGCCGAGCTTTGTTGGTTACCGCCGGCACGTATGTGCGTCTAGTTTACCACCGGTTGCTGCTTGCTCTGAGCACAGCCAAGTTGTTACCAGGCAGTAGGCTCCTCTGTGCATATAGGACCAACCCTGAAGGTCCATGCACCCGTCTAGTATATACCCTGGCCTTAACCCAGTCCCTTTGTGGGGGTACTGCAAGGCCAAAGTTTGTACCGTGTGTTCACATGGACCCTTAGGGAATTGAGACGCTATCAAGGCTAGTGGGCTTCTATGATACTGTTGCTGATATAAATCCTGCATTACCTTCAGGACCCTAACCTATGGTAATTCTGGTATACTCCGCATTATGGGTAATGCAGGGTTCATATCATCAATCGTATGGCTCCTGGGCTAAATGAACCTGGAGAAGCAAAAAACCCTCAGGAGATACCCCGAGTCACAAACACTGTTCATGTTTTAACGGGCTTGCGGAAGTTGCTTTCTGTAGAGTACCTGGGCCGAATCACAAAATCCTACACCCTAAACTCCAAACTCTCAAACCGTAAACGCTCCGAGATGCAGTGTGCCTAGGAGGCCGATAAAGACATTCAGCAGAATCAGTGTTATCCAGATCGACCTGGCTCGAAGCGCGGTTTAGGATCCCTCTTGTTTCGGGTTTTAGGGTGTGTTGCCTCTAGGGGTCCATGTGTGCATGTTGGTTTCCACTTTGGGGGAAACGTATTCCCTTCATGAGCACTATCGGGCCGGAGCATATGCTGCATGGGCGCATGGACCCATGGGCTAAGGGCTTCTAAAGGTTTTTGTGATGTGTTAGCTCGCTTAGGGGCTCATAGGGTGTTGCTTGAGTGGGAAACCGAAAAACAGGCTCCTTGTTCTTTAGGGTTGAGGGGTGTCTACGGGCTTAAAAGGTTGTAGGATAGGGGCCCGAAAGACGCGCTTAGGGGTTTATAGCTTTTGAGATACGCTTTACATATACAGGGTCTCATCGGGTTGAACACAGCTGAGGCCTTAATCTCCAGTGCCTCTAGTTTTGTTTCGGGTGGGTATGTTGTTCGAGTTGCTATAACTGTATAGGGACTCCGATGGGGGTTCACTACCAATCTTGCTGACCTCTGTAGCTTTACCTTCAGGACCCTAAACTATGGGAATGATGGTATAAGTATACTCCTTATTATGGGTAATGCAGCCTTTATATCATGAACCGTATGATTCCCTACAGCACGAATTAATCCCCACCTTCTCACGAGTACCCTAAACGCATAGAAATCTGGAATCCTCTCCGGTTCCCCTGCCGTTCCAGAAATGCAGCTGTGTCGCCAGACCGCATACATCGTATAAACCTGGGGCCAAATCACAGTTAAGAGTTTGGGTTGAATGTTCCAGGGTTTAGGATAGCTTCAGAAGCCCGTTTTCCTATTCACGACCAAGTTTTAAGGTTTCGGGGATCCAATACGATTGAATAATGAATAATGGTCATCAGTGATCTATCTACGCCCACCCAGGAAAGAAGACCTCTGGAGACCCGATTTCTTCCTCGCTCCCTTCATGCCAAGGAGACATGTTCCCCAGTGAATGCTTCCGCAACTCCAAGTTGGGATGACCAGGGGCACGGAAACCAACTCTGCAGTACATATGTTGCCCTGAGGCCCTGATTTCTGGTTGCAGTTCGCAAAGCCATGAACCTAAAAAGCACCAAAATCCACACGATTACATAAATTGCCAGCCCTGCAATCGTCACAGTCCAAAGAGCGCCGTAGTGCCAGGGAGGTTGTTCCCCGAGCGACACGGCGCCCACGGATGCGTGTCTCTCGGAGGCCATCTGAGCAGCTTGCTTGGATTTGGATCTTCAAACTTTAGGTTTAGGGTTTAGGGTTTAGGGGTTTAGTAACGGTCCAAAAAGGCTTTATTGGAGTAGATATACAGGTAATGACACCGGCTCTGCCCTGTGTCGTGCACCTGATCAAGCTCCACAAACGAAACTCAAATGTCGGGAGTCTCACGATGTGTTCCGCTTTTGCTTTGAACTTGATGGCGCAGGCCGTCGCTAGCCATAATACTTAACTTTAAAGTTTGATCAACTCTGTTTGGTGCGTTTGTTTGGACGCATGCAGGGCATGTGAAGTTCAAACCATTCGAAGGCATCCACGATCACGCAATGCAGGTATGACACTTCTTTCTGTGGCTGTCTCTGTCCTTGTCCGTGTCGCTATCTCTGCTGCGTCTCTGTCTCTCTTCCCGTCTTTATCTCGGCGCGTGCGCACGCGCTGCAACCGCAAAAGCCCTGAATTTGGAAAGCCCTGAGCCCTTTTCCCCAAAGCTAGACCCCACCTCGAAGCTTGGCACTGCCAACTCCACCACCCCCAACCCCGGGATAATCCAAAAAGTAGATCGCTTAAGGGGGCAGGGCAAGGGGGAAATGGAGAGGCAACACCTGCTTAGATCTGAGGGTGCCAACACTGGCAGGCAAGGCCAGAAACTGAGAAGGAATCGATGGCCACGACGAAGACGAAGGACAACTCTAACGATTAAGCGGTTCCTGTAAAGTACCCAGTAGAAGTTAGGGTCCCAAATCAGGGTATCTACTTTATGGATCCTCCCGGGCGTCTGGGCAACAGCTCAGACAAGAGAGGGTGTCGGAAAGGCTTCCGCCCTGTTTCTAGATCCGAGCCCTCGAATCTGATCCCATGGTCTAGTCACATTTTACGTCGCAAACCCAAGCCCTTCGCCCCAGAACCCCTAAATGCAAAGCCCATGGTCCGAACTAGCAACAACAGCCACCATCCGATCAGCTTGAAATCCTATCCTTCACAGCGCAAAAAGGCAGGCTTGGGGAAAACCCCCAGAAGCCTTTTTAGAACCCGACGCGAACCCTCCATCAAATCGCATGGGAATAGACGACCATCCCAAACACTAAACCTAAAAAACAACCCAGAAAGCCCTAAACTCTAAGACCCCCCCAACCCTAAAAGTTGAACAACATACAAAACACATGGAACATCCTGCAGATCCTAGAGCCCAAGAACCCTAAACCCTAAACCCCTAAACCCTAAACCCCTACACCCCTAAACCTCTAAACCCTTAAACCCCTAATTCCTAAGCCCTAAACCCTAACCCACCCTCCGATCGCCTCGGAATCGAGGACCACCCTCTTCCGATCGCCTTCGAGTTGCTCAAGGTCCGCCTCGCCACCGAAGTCCTGCGGATGAAGGCTTTAGGGTTCTAGGGTTTAGGGTTGTTAGAGTGTTTTGGGTTTTTGGGTTTTTTAGGGTTTAGGGCTTTGACGGTTAAGGGTTTTTTCAGGGCTTTTGGAGTTTTGGTGGTGTTTAAGGTTCAGGGTTTTCAAGGTTTAGGGTTTTCAGGGTCTTTTGGAGTTTTGGGGGTGCTTAGGGATCAGGGTTTTTCAGGGGTAAGGGTTTTCAAGGTTTAGGGTTTTCAGGGTTTTTTTCAACCCAGGACCTCTCGCACCCGAAGCGAGAATCATGCCACTAGACTCTGACCAAACAGCCAATGGGTTTAGGGGTTTTAGTTGTTTTAGGGGTTTTACATTTAGGCTTGGAGGATCATGAGACTTAGTATCTTCAAGGGTTCCGTAAGGGGTCCCTTATTAAGGGTTCTAGAAGGGATCCATAGGGGTTTAGGGTTTATGGATGATGGGACTTAGTAAGTAAGGTTATATAAGTACTTCACTGAGGTCATATGTCATTACATGTATATATACATACACATATACTTACCTTAGTTCTGACATATTATAATCCGAGTTACTAAGTCCCATGACCCTTTAAGTTAAGTGCGGATCAGGGCGTTCTCGGCCATGAAACGGTCCCAGAAGGGTTTCACAAGGCTTTGCAGGAGATTTATCGTGGTTTCAGCTTTTGGAGAATTTTGCAGTAGGATTTTATGCGGATTTTCAGTAAGTTTGCTACTAGAGGTTGCAGCTTCGTTATATGACGGTTTAAGTTTAAGTAGCGGCTCGGTGCTCTCTGGAAACCCAAGCGGTGAGGACATGCACGATGTTCCGGTTGTAGAGTAGAAGCCAACTGCGTTGTGTATGCAAGGGGCGATGCAATGTGGCTTCTGGAGGACCTTTCTTACTTTAAATAAGTCCTTATCAACGTTCGATCTCTTCAGAAACCCTCATTCGGAATTCAAGACGACTTCTCCATTCTAATTGATGTAGGAACCTGATTAAGAAACCCTCGGCCTATAACCCCAGAATAGTAGTACTCATGTAAGGAACCCTAAAAAAGGCCGAAGGTTTCTTAATCAGGTTCCTACATGTCCCTGTCGCCCTGCAGCGGTCCAGCTGGAACATGCGTGCGAACGTCATGAAGATGTTCCTGGAGAACCAGGACCCTCCTTATACCCTCAAAAAGGGAGTATATGGTCCCAAATAATAGGCATTTAGGGTCTAGTAAAGGGTAGATGGAGGCCCATCCTTCCTTCTACTGCAAGTGTGGGTCTCAGAACCCAATCGATGATAACCCGAACCGTAATCAGATAGCCTGAGAGGAGAAGACAACATTACTCTAATCCTAAACCAACACAGCCGGGTTTGGATACAGTAAGGTACCGTAGTCTTCGCTGTAGGGTTTCTGAGAAAAAAAGCTCAATGCCAAGGTGTAAGCCGGTGTAAGGGCTGGAAGTGAAGGCTCTGCGTTCGTGGTGGCAGCAGGAGCTTGCGATATTGAGGGCTCGGATAGGAACCAGAATAAAGCACACTCCAATGTGAGGGGTGTTCTTGGCTGCGGAGAACTCAGGACCATGGGTTTTGCCGTCCAGAACGCTGTTTCTGCTTGCAAAAACCTAAAAATCCTGAAGCCCTGATTTTGCAACTATGAACACCCAAACCCGCATGAAACCATGGAAACTGTGAGCAGTGCAGCCTTGAAGTCCCAACCCCCGCGACAACACATCGCACAAAAGGCCCTGAAGCCCAAAGTCGCACCCTCTTTGTGCATAAACCCCGAACCCTGAACCCTACACACAAAGTAGAACCCTCTTAACGAAACATGTGCAAACATCCCAGAAGAACACCCCCTGAGCTCCTAAGAAATCAACCATATTCAAAAAACCTGGAAGTACGCCCCTGAGCACCATGGTTGTTCGCTGCCGAGGTGCTCAATGTACACGTTGCCCTTCAGGTCCTTGGGTCAAAAGCGTTTAGGTTTTAGGGATTTAGATTTTAGGGTTTTGTGTTGGGGATTTAGGGTTTAGGAACGGTTTAGGGATTAGGGTTAAAAGCGAGTGCTTGGTGTGTTGAGGCGAAGTATTTCGGAGTTTCGGAATTTAGTATTTAGGCTGCTGGGGTGAGTGAGGGATACATATATACACATACACACACACACACATCCAAATTTGGATATGTGTGTAATCTATAAGTAAATTATATACGCAAATACACAAACACACACAATCTCCCAATATTAGGGACCCAAGGGCTTCTAAAAGGGTACGACCCGCAGCATCTGCATTGTTACGCAAGTTCGCCATGTCGTGCTGTCGGTGTTCAGTCTCCGGGCCCGCTATACAGCATCCCTCGTCCTTAAACTGCGATGTTCAACAGAAGTAGAGAATACGAACAACAGCAATCCATGGCAAGAACAGCAGAAACGAAGAGCAGAAACGCTCGCATGCTACATGCGAATATTGATTTTTTTGCAGCACAGCATACATACCAAACCAAAGGAATGAGAGTGTTAGAGTGCTTAGGTTCAAAGCTCAACGACGTAAGCTGATGTCAGGCGGATTCACTGGTTATCTCTAAACTCTAAACCCTACAACCTGCAAACCCTGAACACTACAATTCTAGAACCTATGCCCTAAACCCTAAATTCAGGGCTCAATCATCTGGATCGCGGAAGGCCACTAGGTTGAGGGTTCAGGGTCTATAGGAGCAACCTAGCCCGAAATCTGCAATCTAAGCCACCCAAACCCTTCCATTATGCACCTTAGCCCTAGACCAAAACAAGCCTTTGTAGACTAAAAGTATAATATCCAATGGCTTTAAAATGGTCCCTATGTTAGAATATTACAGGTATTTTGGGGCCAAAGTATATACGTTCTGGGCACACGGAGCCTTTGGTCGATGGACCCCTCTAAACCCCAAAACCCCCAAACCCCTAACCCCTAAACCCCTAAACCCCTGAACCCCTAAACCCAAAACCCCTAAACCCCAAAACCCGAAAACCCTAAACCCCTAAATCCCTAAACCAGTAACCGCTGTGTCGCCGGGTCTCCGGGTCATGGCCCCGAAACTGCTGCACAGGAATGGCATAGTACGCAAGCACAGAGGAGATGTAGTTCAGGCCGACCTCGGTTTTGGATTTAGGGCTTATAGGGTTTAGAGTTCAAGACGACCTTAAAGGAAACCCTTTAGATCCCGAAAAGGAAACCCTACAGATCCCTTCTAGAACCCCTTTAATGGAGCCCTATACTAATAGATGCCTTATAGAACCCCTTTAAAGGAGCCCTATACTAATAGATCCCCTATAGTACCTATAGAACCCCTTTAAAGGATCCCTATACAACCCGTTCAAGCCGACCTCCGAGGCGTCTATCGCTTCTCTTTTTTGGCTTAGGGTTTGAGGGTTTAGGGGGCAGTTTAGGATTTAAGGATTATAGGGTTTAGGGTTTAGGCTTTTGCATGGCTCATTTTTTCAGATGCCGAAGGTTGAGGATTGACGGCTTAGCAGGAGTTCAGGATCAGGAAAACTGGCATCTACAGGAACCAATGCCTGAAATGGCCCTTGAGGTGCTTCCTAGAAAGTACTCTTTACTTAGGCAGGTTCCCAAACCGGGGGTTCTACTTTCTGGATCCTATGGGGTGTTGAAGCCATGCGGCTTTCGGTACTGAGGTTTAGGAGCTTACCCTCATGATCCAGCCACTAAGAAGGACTCCCTCACGGGTCCCTGAGCCCGAAACTCTAAAGCTCAAACCCTAAGAGCCTGAGACTTCGGACCCTGTGGGTTAGGAACACTTGGATGTCGTGAATGGAAACTTCCTTCCCCCCCATCTCAAGTTACCCCTTTAGAGGGTTTCGGATCTGCGCCAAGAAGCAAAGGCCATGAACATCAGCGACGACCGATCGAAGATGGATCGGTAGGCAGGAACTACATACTGACCTGACATGAGGAGCAGCGGAGTGTCGAATCGAATCCATAACAGCTGACAAATAACAGACATGATCGCAAACATCAGGAAACCTTCAGTATCTTCAGGACCTCTGCGAGCCCTTGCAACCCCCTCAAAGGCCGCAGCACGCACAAACCAACAACTCAACACCTGCATGAAGGCTTTGCCACTGTTAGTTTTCCATAACAGCGAGGGCATCCGGGTGCCGGGATCTGAAAAGAGGAGCAATATCACATGTTCAGGACGTGGGGGGTACCCTGAAAACAGGAGACCCGAACACCAAGGTCGCTGTAACGGAAGCTCAGCAGCAGTTCAGCAGTTCAACAAGCTCCGAAGAGGTAAACCGACGGTAAAAATCTCATGGCACTCTCCGCTGAAGCCGAAGATCGCATGCAACATGCCGCGAATACCGACGCTATGCTGCAATGGAAACAAGCAAACAATCTCGAGAAGGTCTTCAAACTAGACTCTAGACCATTTCTGGTAGGTGTCCCTGCACTATGGCTAAGAAGTCAGCTTAGGTCACCCTAAACCCTGAGCCCCGAGCCCACAGATCCTGAGCTGCTGAAGTTTTTCTTACACGAGACGAGGCCCAGTTGCCGAAGGATCGGACGGCAAGCAGCTGTATGACCAGCTGATTCGCCTCTCACTCCGTTTTGATGGGAGGCCAAAAGGGGGGTTTAAGATTCTTGGGGTAGGGATTCCTTAATATGAACCCTATTATGGGAACCCTAATCTAGGCGAAAACCCCTTTTTGCCTCCTATGACGTTTTCCCCAAGGGTCGATGCAGCCATGCGGTATGTACATACTTTGGTCCTAAAGTTACTCTATCTGAACCTGTTTTAGGGCCTCAGTATATGCTATATGGTGACAACGATACAAACCCGAAGCCGTAAGAACCCGAAGCCTTAAGACCTGTAGCGACTACATAGTTTCACACCCTCCGGGCAAGGGTTTCCTTGATCCCAAGAGCCCAGGACCTCGTTGCTTGGCATAGCCCTTTAGGTCGAGTTGGTTCAGGGTGTAGTGTACAACTTGGAGTGTGAAAACTCAACCCTCAACCCTAACCCTATTCATCCTAAGCCCTAAACTCTAAAGCCAAGGATTTGGGTCGTAAGTTCAGGTTTAACCCTGAACTTGCTGCAGCGATTGCTCCAGCCCTTGATCCCTGTCATGAAGCTCCCCTACGAGTAACCAAGAGAGAGCATGTACCAAGTACTGAGGATCATATCCCGCTTGAAATCTACGTTTCCCGGGCCCTCGACCATAAATCCCAGGTCCTATTTAATCCCGAAAACCTTAATTCCTAAAACCCAACCTAGAGGGTCCCGATACCCAAATGGTATGGTTTTAACTCCCAAAACCCATATTCTGAAAGGAGTTTTGGATCTTGAAACTCTACTGCTTGGGTATTTGGACCCTTAAGGCAAACCCTAAACTAGGCCCAAGAGTGGCCTAGGAATAAAAAGGGTGCCCTTTTTGGTTTAACGGGAGTTATAAGGGAAGCGGAACCCCCAAAAAAGGAATAACTCTAGGTCTTAGTAGACTTCTACACACTGAACGCAGGATTTGGGAAGGAGATCATGGGCTGATGCTTTCTTGCTTTCGTGCCTGCATGTAGGCATGAATGTATGTAGGTGTGTGTGTGTGTGTGTGTATGCCGTGTATGAAATATAAGGACCTCCATAACTAGAACAGGGTTTTGGGCACCATTCTACTACAACTATGATAAGGAACGCCCAAAATAGTATAGTGTATGGATGCCTGGCTGACTGGGTGTCTGCGTAGGCGGGCAGATGGTTGGTAGGACCTACCGCAGCCAGCCTTGAATCCAATAAGGATCGCTGTCCACATCGGATGCAAGTAAAGCCACGTGTCAGGCGTGGCAGACCTTGATAAGCTGTCTTAGGGCTTAAAGCTTGAGGCCAAGACAGGGATTTTGGGTCTAAGGCATTTGGGCTGTCGGAGCAATTCCGCAAAACCCAGGAAGGAAACAACATCTCAAATGCCCTAAACACTCAGCCCAAGCCCATCCTCCCCAATTTGCTCAAGAAAAACTACGCCGACCCTAAGCCCTAACAGAAAGTCTCACAACGAAGTTTGATTCACTTGTACAAAGGTGGGGTTTACCATCTGTTGCCTTTGGTGACTTGATAATTGGCAGTGGCTTTTGTGGGTTTGTTGCTGTATAGCGATGTTGCTTTGGTAAAGTTTCTTGATTAATCTCGAGTTGTATAATAGGCATGGGTGAGCTGTTCGGAGCTTGCGGAGGCGTGGGTGCAGGACATTCCAAGCCAAAATTGGGCTTTATGAACACCCTTTATGTCATCGACAAGTTTAAATTTTATAGGCAGTTTAACCCATGCAACAAGGGACACAACAAACATACGGGGGGACCGCAATCCTCACCACGGAAAACCCAAACTCAATAGCTGGGCAGGCCTTCGCCGCAGCATGCAGTGAATGTTGCTGATGGACTGGCTTTATACTATAGATACGGGGAATGCTATACAATGAATAACACCACTACGCACACGTTTAGGCGCCCAAATTCGCATCCTATACTTGGCATACGAACTTTGGGTTGCCGAAACGAAGAGCCATCTCGGATTTGACAAAGCGGAGTACAGCACAGGGGCCTTCATGATGTGATTCGGGAATCTATTCTTGCATACGTTGATAGTTACTGTTAGCTGCTTCATCAGACTTCTACATTGCAAGGGTCCCTTGGGGGTCCTTTAAGACATGCTCAGTTCCATGTCTGACGATTATTGCGGGGATTGAACCGGAACCTGAAACATACCCCCAAGCCGAAACCGGATGCCTGAAAACACAATCCTTGAACCATGAACCCTGGCGACCCTGAACAAAAAAAGACAAAGTCGAAATGGTTAGCCGGGGTTCAGGAGCGCTCCATCCATGAGCCGGCGAAAATGATACAGCAGGCCGATGATGATCAGTGATAACGTGTAGAAGGACATGGCAAACTCCTGCAGTGTAGGGTTTGGAAGCTTGCTATTGGTGCTCTGGGGGAGAAGGTCTTAGTTGCACTTCTGCCTGAAGCAGTCCTGCACCCTAGACTCCGCACACTGTGGCCGTGTGCTGGAGCACGTAACCCCAGGTCCGAAAGTTGAGGTCAATTCGTCCTCAACGCAGAACTGAAGCTGCCTCGAAGCTTCCATTCCATCCAAACCGAAAACCGAAAAGCGACAGCCCTGGCAACGAAATTGACTCCTCCGATCCCGCGACATCAACGTACCCCAGCAAAGCCCCGTGGCGCGGGAAATCCGCAGGCCAAAGCCCCTAAGCAATGAGACAAACTTTTGATCCAAGGGTAAAAGGAGGGACCCTTAACAAAGACCCCTAGGTATATACCCTTAATACATCGGGAGGACGAAAGTTTTGACCTACTGGATCTGTCTTGTCTTAAGACGTCTTGCGGAGTAGCGGAGCACCGAAAAGTGCGATTTACGTTGCCTGGCCAGCGGAGTATTTTGTACCCCGTTTTGAAATTATGCTACTTAATGTTCTGGAGGAGTAGCCGGTTGGTCCTGCTTGTTCGGATTCTATGGGGGAATGGGGGCCTGTGTTCGACGACAGAGGTAGGTCAAACTTTCGTCCTACCGCAGTATAGCCACTATATACCCTAGGGTAGGGGTCCCCATTAAGGGTCCCTCCTGTTCCCCTTTGATTAAAGCAAGCCGCATGAAAAGTCCAAGAGGACTGTGATATGTAGAACCCAATGGCCGCGAGCATCCGCCAACGACCCGACTCCTGGTTGGGTTTAGGGTTTAGGGTTTAGGGTCCTACACCAAATTCAGGGCATTTTTAAGATCCTAAGTAGGGTTCGGTATGATTCCAATGTATCTACCTAGGGTTCTGCAAAGGAATTATATCGATTCTAGGGTCCAAGGTATTCTATAGTTATGTACTTGGGTTTGGGATAGTAGTTTTGTAGCTAAGTATTTCGGGGAGTGTTGCTTGTTCGGCACTTGGTCCCTCAGCGTATCCTACCTTAAGCTGCATTGACCTAGTTTGGCTTGGAGCCAGATTAGAGAACTACCCTAAACCCGAAAGCCTAAACCATAAACCCCGAAACCCCAAACCCTAGACCCTAAACCCTAAACCCTAAACCCTAGACCCTAAACCCTAAACCCTAAACCCTAAACCCTAAAACCCTAAACCTCCATGTTCAGCAAGGGCTACGACTGATAGCTGCACAAGGAGTCCCTGGACTAACAGATCTGAGCCCTGAGCCCCTGGGATTTCGGTACGTAAGGAAGACTTTAGGTTTAGGGTTTAGGGTTTAGGGTTTAGGGTTTAGGGTTTAGGGTCTAGGGTTTAGGGTTTAGGGTTTAGGGTTTAGGGTTTAGGGTCTAGGGTTTAGGGTTTAGGGTTTAGGGTTAAGTTTAGGTAGCTGTATGCGCCAAAGAGGCGGGTTTGTCGCTTCAAATGCCACCGCTTGTCGTTGCTACAAGTAGGTGGTGTTTGGGGTTTGCCTAGACCTCCTTACTACCCAGCACTATTGTCTCAATAGCTGAAAGAAGGTGTGCAAAGTCCATATGACAGTGGCACTGGGTGTCTACGGTGTTGCTCGCTTCGTGGATGCTTCTTCTAGATATGTTGAGTTGGCAGATATCGTTGACCCAAGCCCAGAATAAACCCTCAAGTCCCTCAACCCAGGACAAGATTCCACATGTTAAGGAAACATGTCACGGGTCATCGGAATACTGCTTGAACAAAAGGATGTTTGAGCCTCTGGGAGCACCAAGCAAGGAAAGCCTATCACCCCATTCTGCTGCGGGGGCTGCGACATCAGAAAATAAGTGCACGGTGTGCTTTGCAAATTGCCTCGTACGACGGGTCCATGTAACTCTACTATATATATATATAACACACACATATACATACAGAAATCATATTATGTTTGGGGCTTAAAGCGGGTACTCAATCGGTGCTTTGGGGTCCAGGCTTTTTGGCATTGTAGGTGCATGGACCCCTCGGGACAGTTCCAGTTCTGTCGGGCGCTGTATGCCTCAGGTTTCTTCAAGTGTTGCAGAGTCCGAGGCTTTGGGTCGAAATGTTGAGGTTTGCTGTGAAGGTTTTGAAGCCGAGAGATCAGTTCAAGAGCATCCAAGACAAGCTTCCGGCGGAGGCGGGCGGAGGCGCAAGAAGGACCTCGAGCTCGCAAAGCACGGCAGGTTCCTATAACTGCTGTTGCAAACCCCCGTTTCATAAATCCTTGTCATTCAAGGGCCATTCGTATTAAAGTACTAGAGCTTGCCAAAGTCGATGTTTCGGTTCCTGAAGCACGGCCGGTCGGTAGAACAATCTCAACATGTAGACCTTTGTGTTAGGCTTCTGCTCTTTGTATAGTATTCGACTATGAAAGTATCCTGGGTTTGGAAGGCACAAACGACCTCTGATTGCCACAGAATCCGCAAAAGGAGAACGAGTCCTACACTCCTACTTCTACCCCTGAGACTCAAACCCGAATGCAAAATGACACTAAACCATCCCGGGACAAGGCGTGGCATGTAACAGCCACCGTTGCGAAGTCTGTAAGAGTGATACCCGGGGTATGAATCCACGGGTCGAGGGAAGAGCCACGACGGTGCTAATAAACACATTTCGGCGCCAAGCTCTGAGCCAAGCAGCACTGCTTCCAGCATGTGTGTCCCCGCTTCCCACACTGCAAAAACGAACAGGAGGAAGAGAGTTACGCCAGCCTGGGCTTTGAAGTAACCAGGGAGAAAAAATACAGACTTTTAAGTATTTCACAATGGTTCCCTTTATAGTAACAGGTCCCCAGAGAAGGATTAAAGTATGGTGCTCCAAAGCCCAGCAGCAGGCTTGAGCTTGTTCCGTGCGTCCCCCGCGAGGAACATGAGCAGGATCAAGAACCAGACTCGGAAAAACCTCAGCAGAGAAGTGTGTAAGCCCGGATACAACATGTAGATCTCTGAGACAGGTTCTCTGGACATCTCTACCAGACAGCCGTTGTAGGACCCCCAAAAATGTTCTTTGGACATCTCTACTCGGCCATCCTTGTAGGATCGATATAGAACGTTAAACAGGGAACCGTGTAGTACGGTGGCAGGGACCTCTCATGTCCTGACTAGTTGTAGCACCTCCAAAACAGAATTGAGGCTGTTATGTGATCATGAAGCAATAAAAGAACCCTTCAATTTAAAGTAGTCCGAGTCAGTTTAAAGGTGCCTGTGGCCAAAAGTGGCCCTATCTTAGGGCCAAAGTGGCTACTATATGGGTACATGTGCCCTTGCGGGCTATGTCCTTGCACGCATGTGCAGGTCTGCGCAACTTTGCTAGTTAGACAACCTACACCGAGACGGTGAGTGAAGCAAAAGCGGCTCCTTCCGGACCACTCTAATGTCAATGATGATGAGGCGCATTTATGTAGGATTTCGTCCATGTGCACATTGACATCAGCACTGATATTCAGGGTGCCGGAGGGTGGATCTAGACTCTACGCCTACCCTCTATTCGACACTGAATTGCCCATCATACACCCCAGAACCCTAAAACCTAAACCCTATTTGAGGCTACAAGTACAGTATTAAATGCCCATCATACACCCCTAAACCCTAAACCTATTTGAGGCTGCAAGTACAGTGTAGCCCAGCCGCAAGACGACCCAGAAGTCCATCTGGACCGATCGCCAGGCGTGAGACAGGCAGGCAGACACGAAGAGCGTGCTGTACCTTTCTGTCTATACAAAGCGTGCCTGCTTGCAGGCCTGACGTCCATAAGTCATTATAAGACAGCAAGCAAAACCCTAAACCCTAAACCCTAAACCCTAAAAATAATGGTCCAACACCTTTTAAAGGCGATTGTTCTACGTACTTCTGGGATCCAAGTAGTACCTTCCGGAGTCCCTGGCTGTGGGTTCGGGGAGCTATGTGTCTCGGTGGTTTAAGCCTCTGCAGGAGTTTGAAGTAGTTCGTGAAAGCTTCAAGTCTTACCGAAGTCCCTAATGCAAACCCTAGTCTAGTTCATGGTTGGGATAGTACTGAACATGTAATGTTTTTCTTGGATTTTAATACCCATGCAAATTAACATGATACCCAACTATGAGAAAGTATTGTACAAATTGTTATGACTTCCAACTTCGTCAGACCTCTGGGACCTACCATCGGTAGAAAACATCGGGGGAAGAGGACCGCATCCTGACTTCGGTTGTAAAGCCGCAAGCATAACTTAGTAGAGCTGCAACCATCAGCTACTGTAGTAGGTTTAGAGTCTCAAGGGCTTCGGGCTCAGGGCTCAAGGTTGTGGAGCTTAGTGTTTCGATCAGAAGGAAAGCAGTGCCCCCAAACCACACGGTTTGACACCAGTATTTGAACTAATGAAAGTTCTTCAAACGCCGAAGGCTGTGAAACCCGCGACCCTGACTCCTAGGCTCAAAGCCCTTCCCCGAAACCCAAGCAGGGTCAAGTTGATAGGGCCAAGTGCTGATAACCGTGCAAATTTCCGGGAGCACTACATGCACTATGGCGAGTTTTGGCTGGCCAAGCACACAAGCCCCTGCGCCTTGATCCCACCTAAAGCGGGAGCCCTGAACTCTATCCCCGCCCAAGCCAAGGCAAGCTGCGCGCCGCTTTCGACACCAGCCTGTTCATGGAGTTGGGGTGTTCGGGTGAGCCCACAAGCCGAAGGACTGAATCGGATCGCGAACCGTGCATCCCTATGATACCAGAAGCTACTGTGCTCAGCCGTAGGGAACGCGGAATGATGAAGGTGCCATCCATGATGTTCCGTCGGGGCCTAACCATTGCAAGTTTTGTTGGGATCTAAACATTCCAAGCTGCGCCGTAAACCATCCTCCTTGCCGTCTAAGCCCTTTGAATCATATAGCCCTCCCCGGTACTAACCTGCGGAAGCACTACTCCAAACGAAAATACCTCGTTCCTTTGAGAAGGCAAGACCTGCTAAATTGGGACATAATTTGACGAGGCCACATCATCCGAAGGCTTCGAGCAAACAATTTAAACACTCAAACGCAAAAACTTGATCCGAGTCCCAATTTTCACCGAAACCTAAATCCCAAGCCTTCAAAATATTCTACACCCAAAAACCCTCAGACATCCTCAGACGAACTTTCAAGGCTGGGCAGCTCACCACATTGAACCTAGGCCTCCGCCCCAAACCCCTAAATCAAACAACCTTAAACCCCCAAATGCCAAACCCTCTGTGAAGGTTGAGGGTTTAGGGGTTCAGGTTTTAGACTGACCCTACACCCCTAAACCATAAGTCCCTATCCGTTCCGGTAGGTCCCAAGAAGCCTCGGAGACCCCTTCAACCATAAGTCCCTATCCGTTACGGTGAGTCCCAAGAAGCCTCGGAGATTGCAATAACGAAAGAGGCCAGCTGCGAGTGGTGAAGCCGAGGCAAATCGATGGAGGTCACAGCGAAGTGGAAGTCCCTGTTCTCCTTTACTGGGTTCTTGTTTTTGTTTAAGGGACTTTGTTCAAGTTACCATCATGGGGATGTATAGTAAATGGGATAGCTTCCTCATGGTGGTAACTCAAATGTTCTCCTTTACTGGGTTCTTGTTAAGGGACTTAGGGTTTAGGGTTGAGGATTTAGGGTGACTTTGTTCAAGTTACCAGCATGGGGATCTATAGTAAATCAAACAGCTTCCTTGTGGTGGTCCCTTAACAAGAACCCAGGGTTAAAGCTTTGGGTTTACAGTCCAGTAAGACTTTCCATATGTTCTTATTAAAGCTTAGTCAGAATATCAGGAAGACTTTACTGGGCTCTTGTTAAGGGACTTTGTTCAAGTTACCATCATGGGGATGTATAGTAAATAGGATAGTTTCCATATGGTGGTAACTTAAATTAGGTCCCTTGACAAGAACCCAGGTTATAAAGCTTTGGGTTTAGGGTTCAGTAAGGGTTACCACATGTTACTAATAAAGATTTCTCAGAACCCCGGGACGATTTAGAAAGTAGAACAGGAGGAAATCGATCGTAGAGCTGATGCTGGTGTGGAGACATTGGAGGTATCCTTTGGCTGGGTAGGGTTTGTTCAGCAGCAAATTTGACAGTTTGGGGCTTAGGGCCTTCCATCACTACAGAATAAATTTCGAAGATGCTTAGAAGGAAACCGAGGCTGCTCGAGGAACCATCTTACTTGAGATCGTCATCAAGAAGCACGTCTAACGCAGGTTCACCATCCCAAACCACTCAGCCAATGTAGATACACCTTGACCGCGATTTGGAATGATGACACTGTCATACGGTTTGCCTAGATCTGTGTTCTACAACAATAACAGACAAAACAGGCTTTGCTTGCGCAGCTTCAACAGACAACTCCGACCTCAATCGCTCGTGCAGTTCACCATCAAAGCCTAGTGAATGGAGAGTCTGAACCAGGTCGGCAAACTACAAGCCCCAAACGTTTTAGAGGCATGGGAACACTCATGGCAAGCATACATTGCGGACTCCTTACTTCTTCATACAGGTATGCATGCCTCAAACTACCACCCGGAGCCAACAAGTAGAAGCTCTACTTGTACGCTCATTGTCCCAAGCTCGAAAGCATTCCGAAAGACAGACGTTCTGCATCGCGAGCGTCTTGGTACGGAAAGAAGGCTTCGATTCGCGTGAAGATATCCTTGATGCAGGGGACTTCGGTAAATCCTAACCCAAAAACCCCCTAGGGTTCTACGCCCTCAAACTCCAGCTCTTACCCCACGGTCGTTTCCATTGCTTTGTTCGTGAGGAGGGTCCACCTGGCCACCATCAATAAGATCGCCCACATCGTCAATACCATGCATCAATCAAGATCATCATCATCATCATGACCATCAAAATCATCATCATGCATCACCACTCTCCAAAGAGGCAAGAACGCTGAACACACCAGTATGTTGGGCACAGTCCCATGTGAGTGCACGCTGCTAGCCCCCCGATGCAAGAACGCACGAACGACATAAACAAAGAACCAAACAGGGACAAGTACATGAAGAACGAACGAGATCAATAAGAAACACCCACCCAAAAAATACCATAATAACGAAATAACGTCATCAAGGACAGATGCACGGGCATAAAAGACATACATAAGCAATGGCCTGCTGAAGATGAACATACCAACGAAAATACAACAGCTCCAGTCAGGCACAAGGAACAAACGCCAAAAAGACCACCACGACGACGAAACTATAAAGCTAAACCTTGGTGACGCTGTAAAGCCGAACGCTGTTGTCTACAGTGGTTTTGCTTTGTGCACGGCATACCGTAGAATCAACACAACACCCCAAACACTAACTTCCACCCAAACACTCACGGCCGTAAATCTACAGCCCACGCATGGTGAAATGTCAGGAAGCGAACTGAAAACCATGCTTGTTCAACACTTTCGCGAAACATCCGCAGGTTTGAGTGAGCAGCCCCTGGTGGGGAGAAAATTACACAGCCTAGACTTTCTCTATGGCAGCTGGAAAACCTCTGCCCTGTACAAGCGGCGACAGCAGCAATCTTAAATCAATATACTGTAACCCAAAGGTCCACATATACTACCATTCTGGAATTAGGTCCCCAAAGACCATCCCTGTTACGGTTGTGGGGACCTAATTCTATAATGGTTGTAAATGGAAGTAGATGTGGACCCTCTGCGTGAAGGTGATGAACCATATCATGACATACCAAAAGATACTACATTTTACTGTACCATAATCCAGAAGCCCAAGTGTCTGGATTGGAAAGGTCTTGAACCTCTCGCAAGCCATTCGGCGACCTCAGCAGCCGGGGCTGAAGATCTAGAAACAAGGCTTGTGTAATCCTTAGAATGGAAGAGCTTCAGGGGTAAACTGGTTGCTTTGGGGGGAATAATACTGTCATCCTGTCCATACTTCACCGCAGGACCAGTTATGGATGTTGATGTCATTTGTGAAAATTTGTATGACCCTAGACTATGGGGATTTATATCATCAACCGTATCACCTTAATCACGAATGAGGCGGGCGAATGAGGCGCTCACTACAACTAGAGCTATATTCAGGAACCCCCAAAATAGTATAGGTAATTATTAAGGCCACTGTATCATGTATGATAGCCCGTTGGGTTTCGGCTAGATCACTATCAATCACGACTGAGGCGCTCGAGCAGATGTAGCCCATGGCTGCTTGACATCCTCCGCCGCAGCCAGAGGTCTCGTCTCACGAGCTCCTGGAAAACCCAAGCCCAGAGGGTCCATATAGACTACTAGTATCGAATTATGGTTTGGGGGACCTAATTCCATCATAGTGGTCTAGTAGTATGTATGGACCCGCTGGGTACGGCACTTCCAACCTGAGCTTCATCTGAACCTACCTAGACCCACCCCCCCTACTAGCCTCCATTGTATCCTATATACCCTTTACTGGGTTTTATTGACAGCTACTTTGGGGGGTGTGTGGCCCGCTTTTCGGGTCACTCAGTGTCTCTCATGCATGGCTTCGCGTCTGTGGTGGGGTCAAGATCCGGGGTGAGAGTTCAGAACTTGAGGCTTCCGTGTGAGTATGTATATACATACATATATATACACATATTGCAACATTTTTGTTTGTTACTTTTATAATTATGACTATTGTTCATAATTTCATTATTGGTATTCTTATCATACATATCGTGAGGCTTTAGCCCTGCGGCCCAATGCCCAAA